TCATGCATCTACTATAAAGCCATTTTTGCCTTTTCACCATAAGCACATAACAAAGAAATTTTCTTAATTTGCCGCCTTTCTTTCCCTGTCTCCCGATCCTAGCTTTTAAAATGAAATTGGAAGAACTTTGATTTCAGGCATTTCCTTTGAAATGTCCATGCAGATAGTTCTCCTGCTTGCAGTCCATATGTGCAGGTTACACCACTCGTTTGATTGAGGGAAGCAGACACCACATTCAGCAGTTACCTTCAGAACCACTTCTACAACCAAGGAGACACATGGTCACCTCATACAGCCAGTTGACCACAAGTGATTTTAGATCCTGCATAACGACAGGAATGCTGAGCGTGCGGGTGAATGTGAAGTCCTCCTTCCCAGATTACTAATAAAGGTCCATAAAACAGCCAATAAACTGATTTCCATTTTCTCTCAGAGGTGATCAGACCTGAACAAACACAGACAGTGGTAGATGGGGGAGGATCAAAAGTCATAGGTGTCAAGTGTGCGATGGGTTTCTTTTGATAAATTCTGTTACATAGTTACATTTGTCTTCCCTGGTTCTAGAAGTAGGTAGGTGATTGTTAACTGCGGCTGAAAAGATCAATTATCATTCCGAATAAACATAAATCAGGTCCCAGAAGCAGACTGAAAGAAGGAAATTACATCACACTCTTAAATGAGGAAGCACTGGGCAGAACTGGATGAGTCTTAAGACAAAAATGTGCCCCTCCTCCTCTCGTGGATTGCTCCTGAGATAGATAGTGCCATCTCCTGGCAAGGTAAGCACATCCAGGTCACTGCCTTAAGGTAGCCTGGCTTTGTGTGTGAAACAGCTTCAAAGCGAATGTTTTCAAGACAAAGGCATGTGAGTTCACCTTAGAGAGCTGAGTGCAGTCTGCTTGTGGGTCTAACCTGACTATTTCTAAAAGAAAGTAATAAAGAACAGCAAAAGCAAGGTAGATGGGTTACAGTTAGTCCCACAGGAATCCTGTGTAAGAACAGGCATAGTTTGTTTTCACTACTTCAGGTTTTACTAACAAGCCATTTAGAAAGCCATGCTAGCAGCCATTGGTGCTTAAATATTTTACTCAGTCTACGTACCGCCCACTTTAGACTTGAGAAGTGAATTTAGGATATTCTAAATGTATTAGATTATTACTGGCCATCTCATCACTCTAGTAATATACTAAGTTGATCCCATAACAATTTTTTTCTGTTTTGCTTTTCCACTTAGCTCCTCTCTTTTTGCATCCTGGGGAAAATCTCTTGTAATTACATTTTAAAGTATGAGATAGTTGTTTTCTCATTGTTCACTTAATATTTATTCAAGTAAATATGCCAAGATCTTGAGGGGGGGGTGGTCCAGGGATGTCGGGCACCGGTCCTGGATTTGGAGGGAATAGGAGGGTACAGCTGGGACAGAGAGACAGGGCTCTGATTTTTCATAAGAGGAGAGCCTATTGAAGGAGCACAGTAAGAAGAGCTAGCCTTAAAGCATAAGCAGTGGACAGCGGGAGCTGAAAAGTAGGCAGGGTAAGTCTTTTGTGTCAGGCAGGGAGCTTTTAGAGTTTCTATGGGTTCTTTTTGGTGTGGCAATTGAGGAATATTGATCTGATCTTGTTGGTTGTACTGTGGTTTAAGTGTTTTCAGACTGGAGGCCAGTTGGAGCCGTAGGGGGAAGAGGCTTGAGAGCGTGTGGAGACTGTGTATGGAGGTGACCCAACTCAGACTCACAGTGGAACCTGGGGAAATGGGATCCTCCTGGACCAGAAAGGGGGAGGGGGGGGCCTCTAGTTAAGAGACAGAAGGGATTGGGTTCAGAGCCTGTAGGATGCCAGAGGCCCATCCAAGTGGAAAGATAATCACCAGACAGTAAGAAATGCAAAGCTGACGCCAGGTTGCACTTACCTATTTAGGAACTGTCTATGGAGTTGAAGCCATAAAAATGAATTAAATGATTTTAAGAGTAAAATCTTAAAATTTTTAAAAAAAAGGTGCCACTAACAGAATTTTGCATTTTGCCTCACTAAGAATATTAAAATTACTTCAAGATTTCATAAGTTATGTCGTGCCCAAGGTTATTTGGATCCTGGTCTATACTGTGCTATCTGGAACAACCAATATTCACTTTGTTGTTCTTGGATTTTGTAACAGGGTATCATCTTGTATGTTTAGGTATTGATATTCATACTTAAGTATATCTTTGTAGTTATTGTCTTCATGGATTGAAAGGTAGATCTGGCTTTACAGTTAAAAGAACTTGAATAAAATTTGAAGCATTGCAGCATTAGTCAAATTTCACTTGAGCAATATGTATTGCTTTATTTTTTGGCTTAAATTTGGCCAGGTTGATCTCTGTGCCCCCACCAGGAGTATACAACCCAAATACTGGTTTTGTTTTCTAGGAGAGGTAGAAGACTTTCAGGTCTTAACCTTAGTTTAAAATGAGAGAGAGAGAGAGAGAGAGAGAGAGAGAGAGAGAGAGAACATGAATGAGAATGTGTGTGTAAACCATAAACCTGTGGCATGTTGTTCTTTGCGGTTTTACAGCCTGAAGTTGTTTTCCAAAAGATGAGAACACAGCAGTTATATTGCCCTCCTTGCTTCTGCCATGCAAGCAAGTAGGAAGTTGGGATAGTTTCATAACATGGCCCATTCACAATTCCCCATTGAAATTTAGAGGCAGGTCACCTTCTATGAATACACAAAGACACTATTGTGGTCAGAAGTGAGCTGGCTTAGTGAACACAATTCTTTTTATACTAAAAAAATTTTTTTTTCCTTAAGAAAGCTAACAAGTAGGTGATGGAAACAATGAATAAAAAATAACTTTTTCTAAAACATATAAATAATTTTAAGTGACCACTGAAATGTAAGTTTTAGGATTCCAAAGCAACTTGAGCAGAGGCGATAGTTACACAACCCTCTGTTGAAAGCTCAGATGTAGATGGCATTAGGAGGCTGACACAGTAATTACTAGTAGTACTTGTTGGCCTGCCGGCAGGTGGGGGCTGGGCCTTCAGAATCCCCCGCAGCATTGGCTTGTAATCGGAGGAACCATCTTCATCCTCTTAAACACCACATTCTTCCTCCCTGCCGCCTTTACTTTTCATATTGCCACAGGTCCTTGCCCTGTAGTCTCTCGTGCTTGTTAATGCTTGGAAAAGGCTGGATAAACACACTCAGGGAGAGGCTAGTCTTCCTTAAAATGTGTTTTGTTTTGAAGTTATTACTTTATGGTAAATAATGTATCTGCTTCATTTCAGTAATCTAAAAACAAAGACTCAGAAACCTCCCATTAATGGGGTTTCATAAGTGGTGGATTATTTTCTTTCTCGTGTTAAAAAAAAATAAGGTTTGACTCTTTGAAATAATATTGGAAGTCTGTCATAAAATCACTGCCTCATCATTGAAACAGCTGAATTTGTAAACATCTATGGAGTATTTTTTAGATTGTTAGCTTAAAAAAGAAAAAAACCCATATGCCTTCCGTATAGTTTATATTCAGTTGGTAGCAAACATTCACTTATTGAGCCAGGTACTTACGGTTAAGGTAGTAGGGACAAACAGCCACTTGTTCTGAAATCCCAGTTTATTAGGCCTGATATTTGTAAATAATAGATGTTTAGTTGCCGAGCAATTTAATGATGGTAATAAAAGGGAGCCATCTGTGTAGCTCCATCCAGCCAGCAGATTTGTCCTTGTGTCATCCTATGGTGTCAGCACTTGGTGGTGTGCAAATATTTAATGGCAGAATGGTGTAGTCAGTATGTGGAGATCTCAAGGGGCCTGTGTTCTGGGCAGTCGACAATTAATATCCTGCCATCTATAAAGGAGAAAGGCCAAGCTTCCTAAGTGCACGTGACTGAAGACAGCAGAGGCCAGTGCTTTTCTGTGTCTGCAAAGTACTGAATCGTAAAAAATAAACTTGGGCTGAGCGTACGGGGCCTTCAGACCTGTAGCATCCCATAAAGCTCGGGGGTGGGGGGGGATGTGAGGGCTTCTAAAGTCCAGGAGCTACCAGTTTAAGAAATATATTTGCCTTTGTAATCCATGCCTCACAGGGGAGCAGGACATGAGTTACTGGGTATTTCACAGAGGAGAATGCAAAGAATGTCCCTTAAGTTTGTCTTTGAAAGGGAGGGAGGAAGCTGTCCAAAGTTGACACTGAAGCTGGTAATCTTGCAGAACTTGATTTTTACAAGATAATAGAAATCAGTATCTTCATATGTGACTATATAGAAATCAGTATCTTCATATATGACTATATAGAAATCAGTATCTTCATATATGACTGTGTCTCTCTTGAGCAAGTAATAACTGGAGAGTGTGTCTTTTGTGACTAAGCCTGAAATACAGAGTCCAAATCAGTGTTAGGCTATGGGGCAGGTAGAATCTCTTGAGTGTGGGTATTAGTGACTGTTAGCTCAGCATGTGAAGCACAGTTTTTTCTAAAATTACTGGGTTTTTTTCTGAGGGTGGGTGAGAGTAGGTGGGGTCTTGCTGTGTAGTTCCAGCTGGCCTTGAGCCTATAGAGCTCCTGCCTCAGTCTCCCAAATACTGAGATTACAGCCACACACCACCATGCCTGTTTTAAAATTCCTTTCTTAACTTGGGAAAACAGGGTGGGATCTACTGTGCTTCTTGCCATAGAAGGCATGCCGTAGAAGGTTGGTTTAGTGGGCTGAAGGGAGATTTGTGGCTTCGGAAAGCGATTATGATTTGTTGTGCAACCGGTAAGCTCTGTAGCAAGGATTGGCTTTTCTGGCAGTAGATTCTTATTCTGTGAAAAAAGGTTTCAAGTGTTAGGTTAGTATTTACAAAAACAATTGTTTTGCTGTCTACACTTTAAGTATCTTCATGAGAAGAACTAAAAAGTTAATAACCAAACTTTTCCATCTCCCCCTCATCTCTAATATTAGCCTACTTATGCTTCAATATAGACTACACTATTTCTGAATTATTTTGACTGTTCTCGTATTTCTTCTTGATTTCCCCAGGGAATGAAAGCTACTGGCTAACTTAAAAACCCCTGGGCTTCACAGCTTTGAAGGCATCCCAGAGTGAGACACAATGTCAACAGCAGGAGTTTCTGCTCAGGATATTCGAGTCCCATTAAAAACTGCATTTCTGCATAATGGCCAGGCCTTGGGGACTATGAAGACCTGCTGGGGCAGCCGCAGTGAGTTTGAAAAGTAAGTCAAGAGTGTAATGTCCCTGTGTTTGACAGGGTTTGTGACTATAGCCACCGAGGATGCCATCGTACTTGCTCATGACCACGGTTTTTCCTTTGCTTTCAGTAACTTTATAAATATTGATCCAATAACCATGGCCTACAGTCTGAACTCCCCCACTCAGGAGCACCTAACAACTCTCGGTATGTATGAAGTCTGCTGAGCAGCTCTGCCTTGTCCTCAAGCAGTGTGTTTGAGAGGAGGAAACCTAGAGAGTTTCCAACAACAGCCTGACACCTAGTGGCCGCAGCTTCCTAAGAGAACTTCCTTAGTCTTCACTACATGTACCCCAAGTCACTGATTCTAAGGGAATCACGAATGCATTTGCTCTCAGGTGCGATGCAGACTTAACTTTAAACAACTCTAGGCAGTGTGTCTTGTGTGTTCCTAGTACTAATGCACATTTGAGCACAGTAGGTGCAAATGGTACATGTGGTAATCAGAACTAGAAAACTGCAGTTATTTTAATGTGGACATCGTGTTCCTTAGATTTTTGTCAAGAGCGTCTTATCAGGTGAACGCATTGCAAGTGAGTCCATTCATTCAAATATGATACGCTGGCAGGAAGGGCCTCACCTCATCTTATCTCACTCATGCCCGGCATGCCTTGTGTTGTCGCATGTCTTAAGTGGCAAACCTGGTGTAGCATGGTACTCAGGTAAATTATACGCTGTTCATCTTCTGTGAGTTTTGCACACGTCACAAAACCTGCCTGGGATGTGTGGGTGTATGCCGAGCACATGTCCAAGGGAGATGGCCGAGATAATTTGTTCTTTGAACCAGATCACGTGTGTTCCCCTACTCTGGCTCTAATTATACCTGTGGTGGTTGCATGGGTGTCCTCAGGGTTACAGCAGTCAGGTGTCCCTGACTGGGCCAGGGGACTGGAGCGGGGGTCCTGGGCTCTCGTGAGCTGAAGGACAAAGATAGCACCGCCCTTGTTAAGTATCACTTGTTCGTTCCTTTCAGGGTGTGCTTCTCGGTCTGCTCCGGTGAGTGGTCACTTCTTTGCAGAATATGGTCGGTCTCCAAAGTCAAGCTTGCCCCCTCTTATCATCCCCCCAAGTGACAGCTCTGGACATCGAGAAGAGGATCAGGTTGTGTGTGGTTTTAAGAAACTCTCAGTGAATGGGATCTGCACTTCCACACCTCCACTTACACCCATCAAAAACTGCCCTTCCCCCTTTCCCTGTGCAGCCGTCTGTGATCGGGGCTCTCGGCCGCTCCCACCATTGCCCATCTCTGAAGACCTGTCTCTGGATGAGGCCGACTGTGAGGTAGAATTTCTGACCAGCTCAGACACAGACTTCCTTCTAGAAGACTGTGCCCCTTCTGACTTCAAATACGACGTTCCTGGTAGGCGAAGCTTCCGTGGGTGTGGACAGATCAACTATGCATATTTTGACACCCCAACTGTTTCTGTAGCAGATCTCAGCTGTACATCTGACCAGAACAGAGCTGTTCCAGATCCAAACCCTCCCCCACCTCAAAGCCATCGCAGATTAAGGAGGTCTCACTCAGGACCAGCTGGCTCATTTAACAAGCCAGCCATCCGCATATCTAGCTACACACACAGGGCTTCTCCCAGCTCAGATGAAGACAAGCCTGAGGTCCCTCCCAGGGTTCCTATACCTCCTAGGCCAGCCAAGCCAGACTACAGAAGGTGGTCAGCAGAAGTGACCTCCAACACATACAGTGATGAAGACAGGCCTCCCAAAGTCCCCCCAAGAGAACCTTTGTCACGGAGTAACTCCCGTACCCCAAGTCCTAAAAGCCTTCCATCTTACCTCAATGGGGTCATGCCCCCAACACAGAGCTTTGCCCCTGACCCCAAGTATGTCAGCAGCAAAGCCCTGCAAAGACAGAGCAGCGAAGGGTCTGCCAGCAAGGTCCCCTGCATCCTGCCCATCATTGAAAATGGGAAGAAGGTTAGTTCAACACATTATTACCTACTACCTGAGAGACCGCCATACCTAGACAAATATGAAAAGTATTTTAGGGAAGCAGAAGAAGCAAACCCAAGCACCCAAATCCAGCCATTACCTGCTGCCTGTGGTGTGACCTCTGCCACAGAAAAGCTGGCCTCCAGGATGAAAATGGACGCGGGTGGTCACATCAAGCGCAAACACTTATCCTACGTGGTTTCTCCATAACTAAGGGGTCAGGGTTCAGCAGAAGAAGTTACGTGGAGAGGATGGCTCCCAATTGAGTTTCGCAGAACAATGTCAGGTTGCAGAATGACGTTGGACTCTGTCTTGGGTGAGGTGCTGTTAGCTGGGAGCCCCTGACTTACCAGCGGAGGACGAAAGGATAATTTAAAGCTGTGTAGAGAGGAGGGAAGAATGGAAAACTTTTACATTTGACTACATTATATACCTATGTATAAATGTGCGGTGTAACCATAGACCATAGCTGCAGGATAACCAATTAGTCACTATCTTAGAGTAATACATATTCAGGGTACATCAAGTCAGGCTGGAGAAGCAGCTCCTGGCTGAAAATTGAGCAATGGAAGAAAGCAGTATTGTTAGATCAAATTATAAATTTGTTAAGTTCGAGGATTCTTGGCATTTGGGCCTGCTATATAGTTTGTGTGCCCACCCCACCCCTCCCCCACCCCCAGCAGTCGTCTCCATACAGGACAGGGCATGCTCTTCACCAGGCCTGTACCGTCTTGCTGAAACCATTCTGTGGCCTAACTCTTCCAGCTCTAGGGTTTTGTCTTGTTGAGAAGGACAGCAGTTTCTGGACCATGTTATGACCTGTGTACGTCTCATATCTTGAAAATTGACAGAATTGGTGAATAACTTCCACACTGTTCCTGCTTTTCCCCCGTCCATTGAAATGGCCTGTCATAGCAAGAGGCTTTCAGGAAAGTATGGTGGAGTCGTACCAGCCATCAGTGTCGGGGACGAGAGTTTTATAGATTAATGCAGCAATTAGCTGTGTGATAGAGAGTTCCTGTGAGGAGGTATGGTATGTTGTTTGTTTTTTTGTTTTTTAGACTTAATAAACAAGTACAACACAAGCTGGCCTTGTGTTGCTGGTTCCTGTTCAGTATTTCCTGGGGATTGCTTTTTAAGTGAAACACTTCTGACCAATAGCACAGAATGTCTTAATGCCAGAGGTCACTTCAGCATCTTCCTGCTTTGAAAACTCATGGCTGGCTGCTTCACTGCCCTGAGACTCAGTGAGACACGTAGCTTTGCTCAGCTTTTTCCATCCTCTGATGCGTTTATCTTGTACAGATGCGCACAAAGAGAAGGTGCTTGCTAGCAGAGGGCAATGCTGCGATGTCCCCGTGAGCTGTGGAGTTGAAACTGCTGAGTGACATTATTTGAGCTGTTTACAGCTTACTGTATGTTAGTGTGAACTAAATGAAGGTTAAAACATGCTTTAGAAAAATGCACTGAGCTCTGCACTGTGTGTACAGTATTGGACAAAGGATTTATTCATTTTGTTGCATTATTTTGAATATTGTCTTTTCATTTTAATAAAGTTATATTACTTATTTATGACACCGTTAATAATGTGTCTTGTCTAAACTCTTATAAGATGTCTCAAGCAACTGATAACTCTTATTTTTAAGGCATGACAAAGAGTCTTTGAAGTTAATGCGTGTTCAAACTTATTGTAGATTTCTAAATGACAATTTGAGCAACTTACTTGGGTATTATAAACATGTATGGGGGCTGAGGACTTGGCTCAGTTGTTGGAGTGTTTGCCTAGCGTGCACAAACCCTGGATCGGATCCCTAGGAGCCAGCACATCAACTGGGCATGGTAGCACATGCCCGCAAGCCCAGCGTCTGGCAGGGGACTGGAGGGAGGCTCAGGAGTTCAAGGTCATCTTTGGTTACAAACAGCATTCAAGGTTTACCTAGGCCACATGAGTCCCTGCCCAAGAAACGAAAATGTGTGGTAAAACCAAGCTGTTTGGTTTTGCCCAGAACAATAAAGTGAACTTGATTCTGGTGCTGCTGTGAAAATAGTAATGGGGGTGGGGGGTGAGGAGGTGGGGGGGCACTGCAGTCTGGAAAGCTGTGTGCGGCGTAGACTCCATCTCACTCGCCCTGAGCTTCAGGACTAAGTCTGGATTACCCTGGGTCCTTTCCGAGCTTCGCTTCTTGCTTGAAGTCTTTAAAGGACTCTCTACTGCTCAGGCAGTAGAGACCACTGCAGACTGCCATCTGCCAGGGGCCTTCATCAGAGCTGGGGGACCCTGTGTGTCAGGTGTCACCCTGGCCTGGGAGTTCATTCAGTAACACTTGTAACTGCAGCCACATGTGGGGTCTGGGAAGGAAAGAGCCCTCCCCCTCCCCCGCCAGAATTCACAGCAGTATGATTAAAGTGTGAAGAAGGCAGCTGAAGGGCACCCTGCCCCTGGAAGTTGTGATTTAGAAGGTCTGTTATCAGATGAAGGCAAGTCTGAGAGAGCAGGAAGCAGGAAGGAGCTGGGCATGTTCCAGAAGCTGAAGGCCATGGGCAGGAGGAGGCTGTGCTATGGAAAGGGCAGTGGGTGCAACTCGAAATCCTGAGTGGGAGAGGAACACGATGTGATTTGTTGTAGGAAAGATGACAGCGGCTGTTAGGTTTCAGAGAAGTGAAATTAGCAGGAACACTAAAAGCTATAGCCCACAACTGACACCAGGATGGCTGCAGGGAATGGAGAGTCACAAGGCTTTGAAAGTTCTGGGGATGACAGGCAGGTTCTGAACTGTGGAGGCAATCTGTGTACCACCCTTTTCCAAAGCAGGCCGTAGCTCTTGCAAGCAGGGACTCTGGGACCTCCTCTCCTTGTCTTAGTGTTGAGCACTGCCTGGCACAGGGAGCTGTGGGCACTTACTTGACATTAGTTCCAACTCAGTTTCCTTCCTTCCTTATATGTTTTTCTTTGAGCTTCTGGAAATATGCTTTTTACAGTTTTTCCTGGCCAGAGAAATGCACTTAGCTACCACGCTAATAGCACACTGCTGGGAACCCTCATGAATCCATTTGCCCACGTATCCCTAGCCAACACACCAAGCAGGTTGAACTTTGTTTCAATTTATGTGTATTGGTACTTTGCCGGGATGAATATCTGTGCATCAGTGTGTGCAGTACCTGGTACCCAGAGAGGCCAAATGATAGTATGGAACTGTGGTTACAGACAGCTGTGAGCTGCTGTGCGGGTGCTGGGACCTGAACCCTCGGCCTCTGGAGGAGCAGCCAGTTAAGTACTCCTGCTGAGCCATCTCTACAGCCCTGTATGATCTTTTAATGTGATTATCAGCATTGGGAAATTGACATCTCTATGATACCTGTATAATGTTTAAATATAAATTTATAATCAAACTAATACTTGGTCCCACTTTTTAAAACTAGAAACTGATTGGGGCATTCTATTAAGTGTTTTATAGACACAGAATGCACATTGCTCTTGAGAAGATGGAGCTTATGCTGGCTGCCTCCACAGTTGCCTGAGCTCTGGGGGAAACTTAAGCCTCCACACAGCCAGAGCCTTGAGGGTCGACAACTGAGATGGAGAAAAAGCCAAAAGAAAAAGTGTCCATTTTTTAATAGAGCTTCTCCAGAGCTTTGGAGTATTTTTGTGAGTTTTCTTCACACTAAAAATGCACTTGAGGACTTGTTTTCTTTGCAGTGTAGGTCATTTGACAGAATGTTCTGGCCCTGTTGTTCCCTGACTGAGTCATTCCACTCTTAGCAGTTTGGGGGCTCTGAGCGGTGAAGGGGAGGAGAGCAGAATTTGGTGAGTTCCCATTTGTCTACACTGTTGGCCTCACCTCTCACTACCTGAAACTACACAAACACGGCTCAGGCGTGCCTGGCGCCGTTTATTGAGAGGGTGTGAGCGTGCTCGCTTTTCACCTGCATGGATCAAAACTTCAAGATACTTGTACCTGAGCCACGAGGAATCTGCTACCACCACACGTTTCAACAGGCTCCCCTTGGCTTTCGTATTGTCTGCTTGGAATTCAGAGCAGCGAACATACTTGTGTATGTTTTTCTGTACCTGAGCTTACATCAGAGCAACTCTGTGACTCAAAGTCACCGCCCCACAGCAGCAGGTGGGGTTTTGGTAAGAAGTGGGGGGCTGGGAATGGACGGGAAGGAATGTGCTTCAAGTACCAGTTGGCACCTGTCTTAGAGAGAGCTGCTGTCTGTCAGGCTAATGGCTTAGCCTGCTTCTCACATGCTGTCATCTCTCACCCTGAGTCCAGACACCTACCAGTAACCCCAAGCTCAAAATCCTGAAGCAAGTTCCCGCAGGGATCGGCATATCTGCCGCCTCCTCCTGCTCCCGCTAAATGGGAAAGCCATCACCAAGGAACGGTGGTTAGGAATGTGCACGGCGTTCTCCTCACAGATCCAGGCAGTACCTTCATTCCTTGGCAGCCACTGAGCATCCACACGTCAGTAAACATCGAATCACAGGCCTCCCATGGATTTCTTCACAGTCATGAGGGTTAGCCAGTGCCTTCCCCTGGGACAGCATGACTTGTCCACTCCCCTCTTGTGTAAGTCATTCTGGCCTGCGCCAAGCCTTCCTCTGGCCTAGCCATGGCACTGCCTCGGGCACAGCACACAGGAAGCTGTATTTGTTGCTCTGAGTTCCTGGCTAGCCTCATGTTCTTGGATGAAGCAGTGTCCTTGTACACAGTGTCTCTCCTCCCTCATTGATCAGGATTCTTGGCTGAGTAGCAGCCAGCTGACGGCTTCTGCAGCCGGCTGAGTAATGGAGCCCAGCTCTGAGCACGAGCACCCACGGTGGCCTGCACAGGACCAGACTTGCCTGTGCACCGCCTCAGCCCAGCCCAGGAGCCTCTAATTATACGCCTGCTGTTTGCAGGAGCCCAGGTGGCCTGGGCCCAGGCCCGGGAAGAGACTAGAGGTCTGCTGTCACTGTGGGGCCAGTTCAGGGGCCCCTGGAGCAGCAAGGTCCAGACACACATTCCAATTTCATCACGGCTGTCTCTGAAACCACTGCCACACTGTGTCATCTCCCTATAGACCTTCCCATGTGCCCCGAGTACAGTCAGAAACTGACCTGGGCCAGCAGGAGCCTGAGGGTGGTGTGTTTTCCTCCACACAATATGGCATTGTTTTGGGGGTGGCTCATGTGGCAGAGCTCTGGCCTGTTTGACTTGCCTGCAGATGTCCCAGTGTGAACAGCTCACAGTTGTCAGGGACTTGCTGTCTGCCAAGCCCTGGGCACTGCAGATCCTGTGTGGTGGCTCCAGGACCGAAAAGATAGCTTTTCAAGGGGAGCAGAGCCAGCGGTGGTGGGGGGTTGGAGAGTGAGGTTCATGAGGACCTGGGTTCTCAAGAGAGCTGTTCAGGAAGGACAAGGGATCAAAAAGTCACTGGTGCCAGTGCCCACATTTCTCCCAGACAGTGCCAGACAGCGTATCATGCAGGCTGTGCTGTGGGCCACCAAGATGGTGCAGTTGAACCAGTAAGGAAAAGGAGACAGCAGCCAGACATCTGTTTCGTTTAGAAGGCCCCTTTTTTTTATTTTTTTTTCTTTCCCAGATTAGTTGTTGATGAACAATCTGTTTGATTGTTCTTTTTTCGAGAATCGGCCAGTCTTCAACAGTAGATTGCCATTTGTTGTCTGGGAACAAGTCTGACAAATAGCTCAGAGATTGATTTAGGGGTGGTAAGACAGGCAAGCCAGGCAACCTGAGTCTGCTTCCTGGAAGCTAAGGATACCTCAGAGTCGCCCTTTGACCTCCACATATGCGCACATGCTCGTACACACACACACACACACACACACACACACACACACAC